GAAACGGGGGTTGATGGATGAGGAATTTAATTGTCCATCGAACAGTGATGGTTTCACCCCTTAATATTGATTAGGAGAAAAGATACGATTTTTGAATTAGCGGGCGAGTTGTCGGGAGTCACTGCGCCGAGAAACCATTGAGTTTTTCATAGCGCCGCGACTTTCGTCGCAGTTTTTATTTTTTTATTACAGAGATTAAGGAATGAAACGGGGGTTGAAGGATGGGGAATTTAATTCTCCATCGAACAGCATTGGTTTCATTCCTTATTGTTAATTAGGAGGGGAGAGACGATTTTTTAATTAGCGGGCGAATTATTGGAGAGTCACTCTGCGCCGAGAAAACATTGGGTTTCTTATAGCGCCGTGACTTTCGTCGCAATATTAATTTTTTTATTGCAGAGATTAAGGCATGAAACGGGGGTTGATAGATGAGGAATTTAATTCTCCATTGAACTGTCTTTGTTTCATCCCTTAATATTAATTAGTCGGCGAATAAATCAACTGAAAAACATACAGTAAACATTGAGTACAAGGAGGACAAAATTCCCCCTCCGCACCTGACCCTGTCACAGCGCGATGCGGGACTGCTACTGCCGAGTTACTCACGCACCCGACTCACATTTACCGACAATTCGACCCGGACGCCGCCTTTCCCGTGGGGTACCAACTAACATTTTTGGAGTCAGTCAAACCCCCCGGTCCGGGCCTCTACTCAGGTCTATCCTCTTTGCTCTAACCTCCGAAAATCCGAGAGTCGAATGAGTGTCCATTCCGAGTGTCGGAGCTACTCTCGGATAGGTCTCGGACTCATCCGCCAGGGATCAGCTGGTCGGCAATATGGAAAAAATACTGAACTTATCGACGACCCATTCGAACTCATATGTAAGTAGCACCTTCACAATTTATTTTCATTGTTATTCTGCACCTGGGGTTTTTAATATTCTGTAAATAGATTCTAAATAAATTCAACAATGTGGTGAAAGGTTTCAATGAAATAGCCTTCATTTTTTTAATACCCTCCACTTTAAAGGATCATCCTTACCTCCTCAGACCATGTGACTCGTATGAGTACTCCACTTATTGGTTTGATCCATGTGATCTCTCGTTTTTTCTATTCAAATCTTAAAAACTTCAAGATTCCTGGGATGAAACTTTCAATCTTTCTAGTTACCTTGTTCATCATTCCAGTTTCACCATTGGAAAATTGGCCTTTGTGATCACTCGGTCGGTCTTTCTCGTTTGATCCACAGCAATGCTTAAACATTGAGAACAGAGTTAATCCTCCTGATTACTACGCTCCTCTCTCCCGTTTACACCACCATGATTACCCCTCCCCCCTTTGACCCTTAAGAGTGGTTAACCCTTAAGAACGTTGGATTCTCGACAAGTTAATTGCCACCGTACACGTTATGTAATTAGTCGGAGGGATTAAAATGAATTACTCATATGAATATGGGCGAATTTATTTACAGTTACAATACAAATAAGAGTATTTTTAACATTTTGGCTGTTCAATCACGACTGAGAATTTATCAGCACTCAGAATTGGACGGCTCAAGTTTGTGATTCCACATATGACGGTCATGATATCATCGGAGTATTTAACCAAATGTTGGGGCAGAATCCCTTCCATGATTTTGAAGATTTTTACTCTCTGGATTGTGCGTTCTACATGAACACGTGCAGCAGCAATGCGTGCAGTCGATTCAGCTTCTGCTCTCGTAAAACGTCTATTTTTTCTCAAATACGGCGGTCGTATTAATCCTATCCCGTAACGAGCACACTCAGCATCAATGAGAAAACCCTTATCTACCATTACACTATCAATGGATGGAATCATTTTTTCCAAGATTTTAGATCGGGAAAATATTTGTTTATCTGAAGCTCGACCACCATAGGCTTTACTGACGAAAGATATAAGTCCTGAAGGTGATATACCGAGTAAAAACTTGATTGTCTGTCTGCCTTTGTAATGCGAATAAGTTGGGAATCGACATTTTAAACACTTAGATTTAGTAATTGGTATTTCGGTACAATCCAGTACTACCCTAGTTTTACGGTACCCTTCGAAACACTTTGGGAGATTTTGTAAAATTTCTTTTTTTTCGGGCCATCTAACAACGGTTTTTAACACGTGTGCTAAATCATTGATCGTATTAATGAAATAATTTTTACATGTATTTGGTGAAACCTTAAATATAGCCGATAACCCAATATACGATAAGTTTATTTTCAATTTCATAAACACGAGGATGATTTTTTCTCGTACGGTAAGACAGTCATTTACAGTTGGATTAACTCTCATCCGTAATTGAGTGACACACAGGGTTAACAAAGCCAAGATTCTGAAAGTGGATAGACCAGTGAACGCATTTAACACTTTCTCGTCTCCTTCGATGAATTGATCTACTGTTGCGTTGTTTGTTTGTGTTTCTTTATGAATAGCTTTTATTCCAAGAAGATTTACTTGAACCCCTGCATCTACTTTGACGATGCTGGTGCTGACAGCTGCGACGCAAGTTAGGACACATGCTTGACTAGCTGAATCCATTTTTGGTTTTTGTATGTCCACCTGCACGGCTACATCCTCATTCATGACACAAGTCTGCCAGGTTGCATCCCTTTCGAACATTAAATCACTACTGGCTACTGGCAATACAGTCCCAGACTCTCCAATACAATTCGTCTCTTCGTCTAGCTCCCTGACATCATGCATCATGTGGTCTCGCACATGTTCTTGACCTTGATATCTGGTTTGAAGAAATCAGTAATATTGAAATCATGAGAATGAGAACGAGAATGTAAACTCGGAACTGTTAAAATGTCAAGGTTCTGAATTTCTACAGCGATCGTTCCAACTACTCATGCCCTGGGATGCAAGCAGCCATATAGAAAAAGCTGGCGTCCGGTAACGAGTTCAGAGAGGCAAAAATTAATCTATATTTTTTTGCATCAGGAACAACAAATTGTGTTCAACGATAGAAATTTTAAACCACGATTATAGTTGAACGGTTGGATGGAAGTGAAAAATAGGAAAAGGCCATTTTACAGTCAGTAGTTGAGTAGTTGAAAGCATTCCTAGACAAATGCGACCCATGAGCTCGAATCTATGAGTCTCACGAGTTCACATTGAAAAGTCGATAAACACAACATAGAAAATAGAACATTACCTCTTAGAATTTCCGTAGGAAATTGATGTAAACACCAGATCTCCTTGATCACAAAGACTGTTTGAACTTGATGCTGAAGACGGGAAATTAAATGATGGGATTACATTTTTTTTCAATCTCCGATTCTTCGGGATGCATCCATCATCTATAATCGAAAAGACAGCATTTATCAACTGTTTGAATGTACTTACCAATGTAAATATTCAATCATTCTCTTCTCCCAGATAACTCTATTATTAATGGTAAATCAAATGATTATTGATGTCATAGTATTATAAGCCAGCCTACCCTCGTAATTAGAACGTAATAATGATGATTGACTTCCAATTAAGACAAGTTCATTTACCATTATCCGTCGAGATGTATTAACTTGATTTCAAAATGGGGTCTCTTACAAATCTAAGAAATTTAGAGGAATTGCTATGAAGAGGTAGAAAACAAGAGCTAAAAAAGTTGATTACCAACATTGTTTAACTTGCTTTCGGTTACGAGATATTCAACAAAAAATGGACTCAACCGACTCGGCTAATTTCATTATAGAATATTCATCTCTACATGAAATACTTACGCCGCTTTATATAATCGTCAAGAGAGAAATGTTGACTGCAAACTTTCATGTTTTCATTGTAAATTCCTCTCAGTTTCAATGCTTTCATCCACTTGTTCCGTAAAATTAAATCGGATGGAAAACTATGGAAACTTAAATTCAGGTTATCCTTAACTTTGCACTGTGGAACACAGCATCCTCTTTTCGAATTCTTGAGATAATTGTTCTGTGCCATTTTCATAAACAATCGGTAGGTTATAAGATCAAAATTTAATTCACGGCTTATACTTGAAACAACTATACATTTCAGCACTATTTGAGGTTAGGGTTCTGAGCAGCTCCGCAAGTTAGTAGTTCTCCAAGGTCGCGCATTTTTGGCCATGGCGCCGACGGCGGTTTTGCGATCGCGAATTGGGAGATCTGCAACGGCAATGTAAACCAGAGATAATAGGGGAGATTGCTCAGGCTTATGGGAACTGTTCAATGAGAATTACGTAGCGGTGGCGCGCATGAACTAATCGAGAGGCCGGCTCTGTGGGAAAAGAAATTTTCATATATTACCATGGAAACAGTCGATAACAGGGAAGCGTTCCCAATCTTAAATCCAACATGAAACCTCCTTTGCAGTCACTCATCCGCTTGATTATGCCATTTTCGTTCATACAACTTCTTATTGTCTTAATTTGTAAATTAGTTGATCATAAAGGAGAGGGAGAGAAGGAATTATGAAGTCTTGAGCGAAAGAGGATCATTTATTTGAATTTCTATACAACTAGATCTTTAATAAAAAAAAA